GGAGAGATCTCTGGCAAATGGAAAGAGGGTGGAAGTCGACCTCAAGAATGTCGTAGAGGTCGCGGATCTCAGGGCGGGCGCGCTTCAGGAGCGACTTGGCCAGAGCGTCACGGAACAGGGCAGCTCTAGTGGGAGCTTGCGCCATGCCCAGCAGGTGGGTGAGGCGAGCGTTCTTGTTCTTCTTCGACTCATCAAAGTCGACCATGGCACCACGGGAACGGGTGGTGCTGATGACGGGGATGGCCAAAGCGGAGAGGAGCACGAAGGAGGCAGCCTTCTGAAGGTCGGCATCCGTGGCGGGAGGGTTGTCGGCCTTCTTGCCCTGGCCCGACGCGACCAGCGCAGCAGACTGACGGAGGAGAGTGTAGTACCTAGACCAAGCCGCAGCGTGGAAGAGGTAGTTCTCACCGACAAGGAAGATACGGGTGAGCTTCTCGTAGTAGTTGGCCATCATAATGTTCTTAGGAGGGCGCTTGCTCAGGTTGAGCAGAGTGTGGATGTCCTCGACGGAGCGGAAGGCCTCCTGCCAGAGCTCAAGCTCGACAGCAACATTGAGCTGCTGGAAGCGAGTCTCGAGGTGGCGCTGAAGAGTATCGGGGTCGCTCAGGTTGATGGCATGCATCTGCGACGAGTACTTGGCAGCCGTCTGGACGTGGTTGCGCAGGAGCTCGCAGAGCCTGCGGAACTCAGTCTTGCGAGCATACTTCAGGCAGAAGTCAAAGGCCTGCATAGCCGTGCTCTGGTAGAGGATCTCAAGGCGCGCATTGTTGCGGAGGATGTCGAGAACGGTGCGGTAGGCCTCCCAGAGGAATTTGAGCCAAGGAGTGACAATGGCGCGGTCGGTACGATCGCGTGACTGCTCGCCAGACACGGTGGCGAGAAGGATCGACTCGGGCGTCTCGCTGGCCTCGAGATCCTCGACGTTGGTGGTGGAGGTGGAGGCGTCGATGGTCGACTGGACCTCATCGGCCTTGGCCTGGGCGGCAGTGACCTTCTCGGCGGCGAGTTCGATGAATTTCTTCAAGACCAGCTGTGAACAGAGATGTTAGCCTGTGGCTGATTGCCAGTATATTGCCGCCAAGAGTCTTACCTCGATGGTGCCGACGTTGGTGTTCTGGCTGATGTTCTTGTACTGGTAGAGGGCATCCTTGGCCAGCTTTCCCTTCTTCTGTTCGACGGAGAGCTCAACCAGCAGGAGCATCACCGGCTCTAGAGAGACGATGGGAACATTGCGAGATCTCTTCGAGGTGATGTGCTCGTGGAGGAGTGTGAGGGCGGCGGGGGTCTGGTTGACGCCGATGAGCTCGTGGGCGCGCTTGAGCACGTTCTCGGGTTTCTGGTGAGGCGGAGGAGGCTACGGACAATAGTCAGTAATGGATCCGAGGAGGGCACGCAGTGACATGGCGGGGCGGGGTGGGCAAGCGGTTGTCGTCGTCGTCGTCGATTATGACGCCTGTGATCGAGGGACGAAGAGGGGTAGGTCGTTTCGCGTCCTGTCTCGATCCTCTCCTTCCACGCCCCCTGCCCTGCCCTGCCTGTCGTTGGGGGGTTTGGTGTTGTCGACTGACCATGATGGGCAACTTCCTCTGCGGTGGGCGAGTATTTCGCTAGACGTCGAGAGGATGATGCAGCGCAGCCGGGACGCGAGCGAAATGTCGAAACTTGGCTGGTCGCTGCGGTTGTTGCGGTGCTTGCGGGCTCGATGAGTTTTTTCAAATTCGTGTGTGGCCGCTACATGCGAGTGCCTTGAGGCGGGGGCTAGCAGTGACCTGTGCGCTCTGATCCTTGCTGGGCACCGGATCGCACGTGACTGGAAGATGACTCAGCGTTTCCTGCTGGAGGGCATGTGGCATTCCTTCGAGCGAAATTTACATAGCATGGGGGAATGTCGGTTGGACTCTTCTCAGTATTGATATCGATGGCGTTTTTTTCTGGCTAGGGAGTTATCAGCGCCCATACGACGTGCTCGGAAACACTCAGTCAAGTTTGTCGGTGGTGATCTTGAGCTCTTTGTGTTGAGTGAGACTGGGGGCTACTGGGCCGTTGAGTTTGCACTGTAGCGCCGCTGCGTACCTGGTGAAATCACACTAGGTCCGTGCCTCATTGACAATGTGCTTCAACTTACATAAGCCGCCTGCCTTACCAATAATGGATGTATGTTGGTTGGTTTAGGAAACACTCGACTCAGTTCTGACCTGACCTGGTGACGGGAGATGATGGCGTTGACCGTTCGACTCGCACTAGCATTACTTTCATACGACAATAGATGCAAAACACCATGAGTTGTCCAGGCGTTCAAAAGGTCGGTAATGCCAGACACAGGCAAGTTGCTTCAGCTTGATAGGAAGTATAGAGTTCAACCCACAGTGAACCATGAGCTGGATTATCTCAGGCGAACGTCAGCCTGCGAACCATCCAGACAACAAAACTAAGATCACGACAAACTTCAAGCATCGTGGGTGACAAAGCCCTGGATTGGGGAAAGCTGGAGAAAGCAAATGAGAAAGCCGATGCTTTTAACCAGGCTAGCATGCCTCTACCGAGGGGCTTGCTTAGGCGAAACCCAAAAAGGGGTGGTCTGTCCGCCAAGGTCCGAGAGAGACCAATCATGTGGAACCTCAATTTGCCTGCAGCGGGCCATTCCTCCTCCCATTTTCCGTGGTCCTCCACTCAAGGCCCACTACCACCGCGCTGGGACCAATAGGATGTACCGGTAGGCCGTGGCTCCCCAGCTCCTGCAGCAAAAACGAGCAAACTACGTTGCAGCATGCAGGAGCAGAGAGCACGCAGGAGGTACCCAGCACCTGGCAGCCCAGCATCCAGCATTCAGCGCACCCAGGAGCTCATGCCGCACTGGTCTCCCCCGTGCCCGCTCGCTCACAGCACAGGCCTGCTGCACCGGGAAAGGGTGAATGGGCTCCCCTGCTTTTTGCTTGTTTCCCTTCCCGCCTTCGCCCTTTCCCAACACCAGGCCAGTCTCCAGACTTCAGACTCCAGACACACTGGCCCTCTCACCACCTCCCGACCGAGACCGACGCTCAAGCCGCAGCACCCTCCCGCTTTTCCATCCCTTCCGACCTCATCGACGCTCTTTCCTTTGTCGCCGTGTTGACACTCGTCACGGCGGAAGGCCCATTGACCCTGCTGCTGTGTAAGTCCTGACCTCTCGTGCAATCTCCCTAGACCCCGGAAGACTCCTCGTACCAATGGTGCTCTATGTCACACTGCTTGCTGTCGATGCAAAAACGCGTCTAAGCTGATGCTGTCGACTGCCCGTTGGATCAATTAAACTGATACGAGTATCGTTGAATAGCCTTGAGAAGTAGCAGCCACACGCCCTCGACGACGAACTTCAGCATCATCGTCCTCCCTTCTACTTTCACCATCCATCCTACGACCCATTGAGGACCAAATCCTCACACATTCATCCATCAAACGCGACCCCTCCCACGTCGCCTTTCACTTTGCTCAAACAACGCCATCACTTTCACTTCCATCGACCCCTCCCTCTACGAACCTCGACAATGCCTCAGTACACCTCCCGCGATGTCGGCGATCCGTCGCAGATCAAGAAGAACAAGCAGTCAATGGCCGACCTGAAGCTGAGGCGCCTGACGGAGCTCAACAACCGTCTGCGCGAGGACCTCGAGCGCGAGCGAATTCCAGTGAGCAATGCTTCTAAGAGGTAAGCAATACACTATTGTCCTAGTGACAGAACCATCCATCGATGATGATCCCTGATCGCTCGCGTACTTATTCCGGACAGCATCATTGCCTACTGCAACGGCACGAGGGATTACATGGTTCCCTCTGTCTGGGGATCCGTTCCCCGGGGCGAGGACCCCTACGCGCCACAACAGAGCGGCGGATGCTGCGTATTGATGTAGTAGAGTCAAATGCGTAGATCCGACCACACCCCAATTCGGCGGATACGAAAGACTTATTTTCCTGTTGACCAAGAAAGGACCCAGATGCTAGCCCCACCGCCACCATGAACCAAAGATACCACGGGGCCCCGCATCGTGGGCGAGCGATCAGACGAGATACTTACTACGGCTTATCGGGACCGGACCGGACACGGAGAAAAAGAAGGCAGGAGGACAGCGATCGCACTAAATACGACAGCAAGGCGTCTTCCTTATTGACCACAAGCCTGAGCACGGCGCGAGACGGGAGGATGACGCGGAGGAGGCAGGAGTCGGGAGGCAGCGATGGCATCACAGCTACGATAATGCTTCCACGTCGGTTCTTTTTATTTTCATTTTGTCTACGAGCACGCACGGCACGCCCGTCTGAGGGGGGGAGGGCGTAACAGCGAGAGGAGATGGGCCGAGGGGAGGAGTATGAGAGAGGCTTTTGTGTCTGGTACGGCCTTCTGGAGCATGGGAAGGCAGCTCTTCAGCATGTAATAATTTCTCTTGGTGTCTTGTACTTTTTCTTCACCCTTTCACGCCCGTCGTCCCTTCTTCATCCCACGACGGGATGACCCTCAGCCCCACCTCGTGTGCCAATACAGCCAGGACCAATTCTCTTACCACGTCCTATTCATCCCACTGTTTTAACGGGCTTGTCAATGAAAGGTGCCATTGGTTAGAGGCTTTTGAAAATATTTCAAGAGTTCCGGAGCAGGAGGACAGCAGAATGACTCGGACGTGGCACGTCTCGTTGACTCCGATTGATTGCTTGGGCAGACGTCGAGTCACAAAAGGAAAAACATGCAGCTATCGTGTGCATTGCGGCGGCTCCCTCAAATCGCACCGATCAGAGCCACTTGAGCAAGGAGCCAGGGCCGAACCGTCACTCGAATGCATGTCAGCTGGGTTTTAGTGGATTATTGGTATCTGTCTAGTTGTGTGGCGGGTGTGAGACATGGCACCTTGCGTGATGGGGGAGGATGTGAATGCAGTGTCGCGGGAGGGGTCAGTGATGTGCATCACCGGTCCGATGACTGTCAATCAGATTCTTGCCGAGCACCTCCGGATTCCAGGGTCGATTGCTACTGTCCGACGCGTCTTCTTGGTTGTCCTGGGACTCATGATTTTTTTCATCTTATTTTTACTTTCTTCCTTGGGGAACCGGCGGTGTCAGCGTCCTGTCAGTTGAGGTATCTTCTTTCCGAACGGGAATGCCCAGCTCTTCCGACAGCCTCTACTCGACAAAGCTCTACATCAGATTTGCTACATTTTTTTTGTTGCGCACCACCACACATATGCAGCACGCTTCCTTTTCCTGATGGACTTGGCCAGGCGCGCGCCCATTCACCACCCCGCACAGCCTCTTGGCCATAGACAGCCATGGCCACAAGATGGACTGCGTTTGATGGCCTGACCAGCCGAAAGGTTGGGCAACGAATCTTGCACGGGTCAGGATGGCTGTGAAGGCGGAGATTCTTCCCTCCTCTTGGTTCAAGGCAGTCAATCAGAGGGTCATGCCGAATCACCAAAAAAGTTCATTTGGCTCAGTCCTGAATGGGGATAATTTTGAAGAGAGACAAGTTAGAAGCATGAGTACCGTATATTACGCAGCCCTGGTGAGATGTGCTTCGCTTGGATACCTCCTGGCCCGACATTGTACTGAGGATGTTTATGGTCCTACGTTGGAGCGATACATGTAGATTATTGGACATGGATGTCTGGTTGGAGCCTCCAACAGGTGTGCTTAGGTGAAATCTTTGCTGGTATACAGTTCTTTGGCGCAATTTCACGCCCGGCCTTGCGTCTACCATATTGATGTTCGTTCTTCCGTGTTCCTGGCCTTGAGCTTGCCCGTAAGACTTAACGTATCCTGCCAGGTGCATAGGGGCAGGATCTTCTGGATTTGGCACGATCTCACATCGAGACTGATTGGTATACATCTGTGGTAATGATGTTGACTTTGCCATCCTGCTTTCCGGCTATACCCGTGATTTCTGACATGCTGAGAGTAGGAAGATTTTAGCACCGCGTTGCTGTTTAAATGCCCGAGTTCTGCTCTGCCTGACCAGTCAATCCTGACTCACGTGAGTACACAAGTACTGAGTAAGGATGCGGTATCAGGTCATGCCACACGACTAGCAATGAGCGCCCAGTAGAGTCCAACAGTGATCTTACAGCGGGCAGCAGGTGGTGAGCGACCGCCAGTGAGTGGTACCCAGGGCATCGAACACCCCGCGTCCATGACGCTAGGCTCATGCGATGAGGCACTGACGGCCCCTCCAACAACTCCTGCACTGATGAAGCAGCCTCGCCAGGCCCTCATCGACACGTTGCATTTCATCCAGTCCAGCTCTGTCTGCGGGTGATCTTTGTCGACTTACACCTTACCATGGTCGACGAACCGCTCACTTCAGCCGCCGCCACGGCAGATCCCCCCCCTCCCGTGACGCACCCCGAATCTGACGCTCAGGCTGCCCCCCTCCCCCTCCCCCTCCCCCGCATCGCCATACGGTTCTGCACCCAGTGCAAGTGGATGCTCCGCGCCGCCTATGTAAGCAAAGACACCACGTCCCTCCCCAACGTCATCAAAGCCCATATATCAGAGTCTCAGAGGGCTCTCTCTCTCTCTCTCTCTCTCTCTCTCTCATATATTTCTCCCGCATGAAGATCCCAGACGAGCACCGACAACATACACATAGTCCCCGTCACTGACCGCAAACCAACTCCTCCCCACCAGTTCGCCCAGGAACTCCTCTCCACCTTCTCCACGTCCCTCGGCGAGGTCGCCCTCATCCCCTCCACAGGCGGCACCTTCACCGTGACCATCACCACCGCAGCCGACGCAGACCCTGCGAGCACGAGCACGAAGACGCTCTGGGACCGCAAGACGGACGGCGGCTTCCCCGAGACCAAGGAGCTCAAACGCCGCGTCCGCGACGTCATAGACCCGTCGCGCAACCTCGGCCACGTCGACCGCGATCACGCCCGGCCCGCTCACGCACCCGCCAGCGCCAACGCGGTCGCCATGCCGTCTACCGCGTCTACCGGCGCCACGGCTGAGGCGCCTGCGCAGTCGCAGGGGACCGCTCTCGACGACGAGGCGAGAAGCCGCATCGCTGCCGCCAGGATGAATAAGGGCCAGGCCGCGCCGAGCGGCGTCGATGGGGCTTCGCTGGTCAGCGAGCTGAAGGGGCCCGGTCCGGCGCAAACTCAGGCACAAGCATCACGAGAGGGACAGACCGGTGAAGCCAAGGCTGTATGCGAGGACTGCGTGTAGAGACCTTGTCTGCCGGGGCCCCGACGTATCCGACATTCACCTCATAGAATAGACGCACTAAGAAAGGTCAACCCGTGTACGGCATTCCCTCGTCGCATCATGAGCCGAGGCACACTATCTCGCGTAGAATACATCATGAACCATCGGATGCCTCTCGTGAAACCAAAGTACCATGCTCCCGATAGGACAACAGAACGACTAACAAAAGCAACTCAACAGAAGGAGAAACAAGAACAGGCAGGCAGAAGGAAAGTGGCAAGTAGTCATGTGCACAGAGACGGATGCACCGCACTGTCATCATGGCATCACCTTGGCCTTGCGGATCTGCGAATGCTGTGGTCACCCACCCCACAGATTGACCATCATTTTATCGTACAGTATCGACCGCATGATCGCTGGTACTGGCAACCCTACCTGTGGGCTCTGAACCCATGTCCCCCCACCGTGTGTACCTCGACTAGGCCATCCGTCATTGGCTGCCATTCAATCTCACGAGGCGATGTAATTGAACCGGTTGCTACAGAGCATTCAGGGGAAAGAATTCTCTGGAAGACGGCATCGCACATCTCAACAGAACGCGAGATGCACATTCACACTGCGATGATTGTGTGCAACCATTTAAACTTGAGGAACCACTCCGCAACCAAATCCACATGGTTTTATTTGCGCAAGTCACATCAGCCGCGCGTAGACCGGGACCATGTCAAATTCCAGTGTTTTTTTTGTGTGGTTATCTTCAGCTACTAGAGACAGCCGTGATCGTGATCAGAGTTGCGCGCGATGTTCGTCGTGTCAGTCGGTTGGGGTACGGGATTATTTGGGGAGGGCGAGGCTGAGCATCCCGATGGGAGAGGAGACGAGTTGGTCCACCAAGCACGGAGGACGTGTGCGCTGGAGAATAGTGGAGCGTTGGGTCGTTGAAAGAGGAAGCGTTTGTCGGTCAATCCGAGTGTCACAGGGGACGTTCGATGCGAGCGTTGCAGACGATTAACGACGGCCAAACCTAGAAAAAGTAAAACGTTCGCATAAACTCTTTCATGACAGAGGTACAGGCAGGCATTGTGTGCCGAAAGGGGCTCAGAACAGCCGCGCGAAGGGTTACGAGACACTTACTTTTGTTTCTTCTCAGCAGGCTTGAGGATCTGGAATGCAAAGTACCACGTTAGCAATGTACTAAGATGAGGCATCTGCCACAAGGTGCACCGACCTGGAATGAGCACAGAAGACTCTCGTCCACGCTCATCATGGCTCCTGCGTTGTCAAACTCTCCGCAGTAATTGGGCGCACTAAAGAGGGTGACGAGTTGGCGCTTGGAGAAGAACTCATATCCATCCTCGACGACCTGGTGAGCACGGCAAATCAAGTCCATGTCATGCTTTG